GTTCCGCTGGATAGCGGGCTCGCAACGCCAGGCGGGGAAGTGGTGGATCCATTCGAGGAGTTCAACAGCGTTACGCTTCACCACGATGGCGAGGATAACTATGCCGCACCTACCCACGTCAACGGATACGAGTCGTAGGATGCTCCCAGTCGCCGTAGGGACAGTCGATTTACTCTCACAACGGGGAGCTCATTGGGGTCGTCTGCGAGAAAGAGGCGGAGGCTCTTGTTTTGCAGCGTACTTTAGGAAGGCATGGAAGTTGATGCTCTCAGGGCCGGCTAGGCATTCGTTCTTTATCAGCAGGAGCCGCGAAATAAGGGGGAGTAGAAGAAACAGCGAGCAGGCGGAGGCAGTGTGATCATCTCGCAGTTATGTTTGTTGTCGTTTCTGGAAGGGCAGCTCTGTTTCTCCGCCTGCAAACTCTCATTTTAGACGCCAACATTTGACAGGGACAAAAATGGATTGATGATTGTTTGTGGCATCGTTTGGGAGGGGGGGGCCCGATGCAAATAGGAGGGGGGAGAAAGGAATGAATGAGAAAGAAGCAAAGGGTGCCATGTAGCCTTGGTACCGGGTATCTCGTACTATTACTTCATCTGACGGAGTTGAGTGGTTGGTTGGCGTTAGCTTAGGAAAGATGAATACTTTTTTGAGTCGCTGTTGGTGATGCGGTGATGGGAGTGGTTGAAGATATGGTGAGATTTGGTGAACAAAAGGACACCTTGACTAAGGTCGAAAGACCTAGCCTGAAGTGCCTGGCCAACTCGGTCTTCAAATATCCACCTATACCTCTTCCTGACTTACAAGATGCCGTGAACCGCGATGGGTGTGGTGATAAGTCAGTGTGAGTGGGGCCTTACCCCATGTGAGCAGGTCTACAAGTATGAGGAGACAAGCTTCATATGCCAAGATCGATCCCGCTATCACTGCAAAAGTATGCAGAGGGCCGGTGACCCAGAAAAAAAACACCCCATGTTTATTTCGACTTCTTTCTGCTCGATTCTAGAATGCAGCCTGCGGTTTGGGTGTTTGAGTTTCTGAGCACGGAATGTTGTTGGAGTAAGATGTGAGGCCGTTTCGCTGTGTCGCTGAGGACGGGAAGGAGGGAGCGGGCGTGTTAGTGGGTGGTGGGTAGGCGAGTGTTGCCTTGAGATGGAAGGCGTGACCACCAGCAACCGAGACACACGATGTCTGCTGACTGACTTCGACCCGGTGAAGTGTGTCAGAGGCAGAATCTATAATTTATTTTATTGTCATCTTCTCATATTTTGTCAATATCATTTCCATCTTTGTTGTCTTTTATCGCATCTTTCGGTGCAAGTCAAAGTCGAATTGGTCTCGGTGAGATTCCAACTCCTCGCAAGCATCGCATTCGGACGGTTAATCCAGCAACATAACGACCTGTTTTTAGTACGGCGTGGTTTCTATTTGTCAGAGTATGAGTATCCTTTTAGGAGATATCGAGCGTGCTAGGGCCGCGCACGACGTCCAGCGCCATTTAGATCTCGATTTGGAAGAGGGCTTGGAGCACGGGCAGGAGCAGGAGCGACATGCCGACGAGGGGCGGCTAGAGTCTCAGCCGTTGGGTAGCGGTAGTGATGGGACTGGGACAGGGATTGGAAACGGGGTTCCTCTTCGGTCAGCATATATTCTTGACTTTCGAGAGGGCGCGGTGCGCAAGAAGAGGTATGTCTCGCCGGTTGAGTTTGGGGCGGCGCTGAGGAGGCCACTCGGGACGGAAGGCGCCAGGAGAGAAGGGCTGTTGCTTGTGCTGAGGGGGTTGCCGGAGGAGTATGTCAATGCTATTGGGGATTCTGCTGGGGATGTTGATCCGAGCTTTATCGAAGCCCATGCAGAGCGGAGGTGCTATCGTCCGCGGGGGGTCTGGAAAGGGCATTCAGATTTTGAGCATTGGGAGTACCCCGAGTTGGTTCAGGGGTTTGACCCTGCGGTGGCGGTGAATCTTCAGGTGAAGGGGGATATGATGGTGAGCCAGAAGATTTGCTCTGTGGGAAAGGGAGGGTTGGCCGCGGTATTCTGCCGAGTCTCGGTTTGGACGGGCTCGTATACACCGATCCTGTTTTTGGACCGGCCTATTTGGAAAGATTCTGGATCGAGTCTGCGGAAAGCTCAGAGGAATGTCTGTGTCGTCAGCCAGGGGGAGTGCTGTGCCGCCGCCGCCGCCGGGTCGCCAAAGGAGGGGGATACGATCTTGAGTTTGGAGTCAACACTTCGAACGCTTGACTTGGGATCCGCCGACAGTTTGAGATTTCCGCGGAATATTCTGTTGGAAGAGCTGGTCTTCGATCTCTGGCTGGAACTCTTCGAGGTACTGGCGCCTCCTAGACGCGGAGCATCCCTCACGAGCTGCCTATGGCAGATGCTACACTCCCTGGAGCTGAATGAAGACGCCGCCTCGTACAACGCTCGGCGACGTCAAAAGAGAGGGGAAATGAGATTTTCAACGTCCGAAGACTGGTCGATACTGCTCGCTCGAGTACACCGACGCTCTACCTTGCTGTCCTCCTCACCACTCACCAAGATGCCCGGCCTCACACCGTCTTCGACTCTAATCACAAACACCTCAACACGAACACCCGGCGGCACAAGAAAGGTCAACGTCACCGGCACCCCAGGAGCAAATGGATCGCTCCCACCGATCAAGACCCCTGGTCGAAGCGGCCGCGAGCTTCTCGACGAGAACCACCGTGCACTGGATCGCATCAGCTACTTGGGAGGTATCTTGCTCCCGTTGCCCATCGTGTCTAGTGTACTGTCGATGAACGATGCCTACGGCCCCGACGGGGACAAGTTCTTCATATTTTGGGCAGTGTCACTCCCGCTGTCGGCTGTGGCTGTGATGGTTATCTACGCCGACACCATCCGCAAGGCAGAGGTCTGGGTTGAAGTCACGGCTGCGGAACACGTCGGTGTCTCACCGGCATCGGCTGAGGCGAAGGCTGTTGTTGACGCTGATGAAAAACGAAGCATTGGTTCGTTATGGCAGAGGATTACAAGAAGAACTGCAGAAAAGCAAGACGAGGAGGCGCAAGGCCCACCGCAGAGAGCCGATGACCACGGCCAAGCCAGAGTCGGACTGCCAATATCAGGGGCACCACCTCTGGCAGCACCGCCAGCTGTAGAGGAGAAACTCGACGAGCAAATATCTGACTTCGAAGACGGACAGGAAGAAACCCTTGTGCAACTCCCGATGCTGTTCAGCCTAGGCCCCGGTCTATACGCCGCCGAGGAGGAAGAGCCGCCTGAAATGATAATGGAACCATTTCTGGATGGTCGAAGACGCAGGGCGTGGCAAAGGAAGAAGCTAGGATGGGGTGGCGCGATGAGGGCAATTGTATCTCATCGGAAGCCAAGGTACTGTCACGAGCATTCGCCAGAGGACCTGGTGGCTCATGAGGCTCATGAGAGGGCGGAGAAGGAGAAGGGGCAGAGGAGAGCGTAATATCTGTTTGGTTGATATAGTAGGTCAATAACATAGGTTGCATCCATACCAAATGTAAGTCTCAGCACAGTTGAGTTGGGTTCATCGAAAGAGTATGTTGTCCTGCGCCACGCGATGTGGTCGGTGTACCGGGAAGTCAATCATGGCGTCCATTCAGGGGTCTAGCCCCTGACCAAGATGATCACCGCAGCAACGCGGTGGGTTGAACAGATGCCCCTTGCCCTTTTACCAATCATGACTAGTCGCGACAGGGGCCAGCTGCGGTACTCCGGACCGTCATCACAAGTTTGACGTGAAATAATGCGAAGGGGATTTCATCATCGGGCGTCGAGCTTGCACACATCGGCGCATTATTAATCAGGCTGTTTCCTGGGCTTCGGCACCCCAAGAAAGCCGAGTGCGGGGCAAACTCAGATGGTGGTTTCGTGTGACGGATGGTCTTATTAATGCAAAAGAAGACGCAATGCGGAGATGCTATATAATGGCACGAGGCTCTAGTATTCTACTGGTGTTCGGGAAGAGTATACACGTTTCAATTCAAATCGCATTCATCATGGCTTCAAAAACCTTCTACGCTGTCGTTGCTGGTGTCGGCGCTGGAACGGGTCGATCGGTTGCACTGCGGTTCGCCAAGGCGTACCCTGTAGCGCTGCTGGCTCGCCGGCCCGAGAGCTACAACGACATTGTCGATGAGATCAAGAAGGCTGGGGGTCAGGCTATTGGGGTCAGCGCTGATACGTCCGATGAGGCGTCGGTGAAGGCCGCCTTTGAGAGCATCAAGAAGGAGTTTGCGGGGAAGAAGCTGGCCGCGGCTGTTTTCAACGTCGGGGCAGGGTTCGCTGTGAAGCCGTTCCTTGAGCTCAAGGCTGAGGACTTGGAGAACTCGCTCGCCGGCAACGCGTAGGTTTCGTTTAAAAAAGTTGAATGCAAGGTGACGGCTGACCCCTAGCAGGAAGGGCCTCTTCAACTTCGCTCAGCAAACCCTCCCACAACTCCTCGAGGCCGTTCCGGACTCGCCGCACCCGCCAACACTGGTCATCACCGGCGCAACGGCCTCCATCCGTGGTTCAGCACGCTTCGCGACCTTCGCCGCCAGCAAGTTCGCAGTCCGCGGCATCGCTCAGTCGCTGTCGCGTGAGTTCCACCCCAAAGGCGTCCACGTCGCCCACGTCATCATCGATGCTGTCATCGACATCCCGCGCACCAAGGATTGGGTGGTCAATGACGGGAAGGAAGACAGCAAGATCAGCCCGGACTCTGTAAGTGCACCCTCGCGGAAAGATTTCCCTCAGTCGCTAATCGCCGAAGATCGCCGAGAGCTATTGGTATCTGCACGCCCAAGAACGATCGGGCTTCACGCAGGAGTTGGATCTGAGACCGTATGTGGAGAAGTTTTGATTGATTGGATGCTCTTTCCGCGCAAGATGAGACATTTGAGATAAATGGAGCGGAATGAGGCATCTTTTGAGGGAAAAATAAAACCACTCAAACACACTTCTTTAAAAAGACCAAAAAAAAACAATCGCGACGGGAATTGAGCCCGACGTGGGGGTCGAACCCACAACCTTGAGATGATCACGTGAATCTTAAGAGTCTCACGCTCTACCGATTGAGCTAGCCGGGCGGCTAGTTTCATCGCTTGTTGCGAAGGAAAGTATGATTTGCAGCCTATAGTGGTTGCGCATTTCTGTGGAAGAAAATCGGGTTCCCCCCACTCCTCGTGAAGCTTGGCGGAAAAGGTGGGGTGCATCGATGGCATGGCGGGGCAATCAGCTGCTTGTGGGACCCCAGTCGACCTTAGTCGCACTTCGCCGCCCAGGGACCTCCCACGCATCTATCGTGCCAAAGGCAATAAGCTTGCATGCGCGATTCTGGACCACTGCGCACCAGAGCCGCTCAGTTTGGGGGCGACCTGCTCGATATAAAGCGGTAGATAAGGCGCCTCATCCTCAGTTACACCCCCTCTCCAGACCCGCAACCTGCTTACATTCTCGTCCTCGCAGTTTCTCTTTGCTCCTTCCACCCCCCGCACTCAACACCTAGGTGCTTTTACGAAACATCCGAGACGTTCGGTTCCGAGAGCTCGGCTGCTGCCCACCAAAAGCAAACCATCCCACCACCTCGCCTATACCTATCTAGTCTCGGCACCCGGAACCCGCCCCTCCAAACCAGGGACCTCCAAACCTCCAACCGTTCAGACTCTCCGCGAGTTCGCACCGCACAGCTCCGGCGTCAGAATGGCGACAGCCGGTACCGCTCCTTCCGGTTCTCCGGAGCCGGAGCACAACAGACAAGATCAGACCCTCCTCTTGTTCGCGCGGTTGATGGAAGGCGGCCAAGAGGACGACGAAACCGTCGCCGAGCTCGGAAAGCTCACCAAGCTCCTCCACGACGATATAGAATTGGTCAAGAAGGGCGAGCCGTCTATTACGAGCGTTATTGATGGAGATTGCGTCGACACTATTCTGTGCTACCTCGACATGAGGCAGCCTGACGTCGTACGAGGCCACGCGGCGATGTGCACGTCCGAGTATCTCAAGGCGGCCGGTGAGGATGGGAACAAGAAGTTGGCAGAGTTTTTCCACAACAGGGTCCGGAGAGGCACGTACGACGACTTTATTGTCGCCTTTTGCGTTGCCGCGACCATTTTCCCCATCGTTCCCGACCTTACGTCCGAGTTGTTCCTCAGCGAAGGCTTCCTTCCCAGTCTTGGCCCGCTTATGAGGCGGAAGTGGAAGAGCAGAAAAGTCGAAACCGCTTGCCTCGAGATGCTCAACGCCGCCTGTATGAACTCGATGTGCCGGGAGGCCGTGCAGAAGTACTGCACCGAGTGGCTGGAAGAGATTATTGATCAGGACCCCGAGGAGGTTGTCAAGGAGTTGCACCATGCTGAGCCTGGAATTCAAGAGGGGTCCATCTCCATGAGGAGGCATTCTCTGCAGGTCCAGAACCTCGCTGCCGTGGTATTGGCGAAGCTCAGGGTTAGCAGCCCCGTTCTCACCTTTCCCTCTGGTTCTGCCGCTGTCTCGTGCTGATGTCCGGCTGACATCTGGCGTGAAGGCAGTTCAAACCACAAAACCCCCCGATGGAACCGAGCCACGAGTGCAAGCGGCCACGACGAGTGTGGAAGATCTTTCGAAAATGTTTACCAAGATGCTTCTTACGAACCCGGAGCACGGAACCCAGTCTTCGATTGAGGGGCTAGCGTACGCCTCGCTGCAACCCAAAGTGAAAGAGGAGCTTTCGAAAAATAAGGAATTTCTGCAGACTCTCGTCAAGACGCTCGAAGGCGCACCACCCAAGTCGCCTCTAACATACGGAGCCCTCAGCATCATTGCGAATCTAACTGTTTTTCGGCCCGTGGAAACAGAAGAAGAGAAGAGAATGAACCAGTTGAAAGCGTATGCGAACGCAGCTGGAAAGCCGCAACCAGAGCCGTTGAACGATCATGAGCACACGACGGAGCGATGCAAGCGGGTTTTTGAGGCTGGGGTGGTTCCTATTCTTGTTTCTCACAGCAAAAGTGGTTCTTTGGCGTCCCTGTCACTAATTATCTCCATCATACACGCACTTTCGACGACAATCGCTTTGCGAGGCCAGCTCGCACAGCAGGGCGCGGTCCGTCTGCTTATTGCAGCATGGACAGCCCTTCCCGGGGAAGAACAAAAGGTTCGCCGAACTGCCGCTCAAGCGTTGGCCCGTATCCTCATAACAACAAATCCGACCATTGTTTTTGGCGGGAATCGTCCCATCCCTCAGAGCAACGCCATCAGACCTCTAGTATCAATCGTCGCTCCAGATCCAGACGCGGAAACTCGCGACCTTCTCCCTACCTTTGAGGCCTTGATGGCACTTACCAATCTCGCCTCAACCGACCACGAAACTTGCCACAGCATCGTCCGCCTCGCCTGGGACGACATCGAAGAGCAGCTTCTTAGTCCAAACTCTCGCGTTACAACGGCCGCCGTCGAGCTAGTCTGCAATCTCGTTCAAAGCCCCACCGATGCCATTGCGCTCTACGGAGATGGTAAGGCCAAGGCAAACAACCGGCTCAAGATGCTGGTTGCCCTCGCCGACGCTGAAGATCCCGCCACCCGAAGCGCTGCTGGTGGTGCTCTCGCGAGTCTAACAGGCTACGAAGAGATTGTTCGTGCTATCGCCAACCGGGATCGCGGACCCGAAATTGTTTTGGGCCTCTGCAGCGATGAAAGTGAGGATATCCGGCATAGAGGCGCATTCGTGGTTTACAACATGGCAGCTGCCGATGGCGAGGCTGGCAAGTTGGCGAAAGAAAAACTATTAGCGGCTGGGGCTGTTCAAATTTTGACTGAGTGTGCCAAGAAGAGCAGAAGGGCAGAGGTGGTGGAGGTTACGATTCAGGCGCTCAAGCTGATGTTGGAAGGGAAATAGGCAGCACTGCTATGTGCGCGGATGATAGCATGAGCAGGAACGGCAGCATCGTTAGGGAGCGAAGCATTTCTGAGCATTGGAGTTGGGGATCATGAGTAAAGAGGCAACCGGCAAACGAACGTGGAGTTCGATAGCATGAGATATCATATTGAGTTGGCATTCAGTCATTGCTGCGCCTTGCGTAGAATGGTGATGATTGCCGTGGAAGCATACCAAGTAATGATGTGAGGGTCTTCTGCAATGGCTTAGATTTTACAGCAAGCGGCCATCAGATCGTTTCCGTTTCCCTCTTCTGGTATGGAACCTAGCTTGAAATCAATTACTCCTGACCTTGGCTGTGGATTTCCAACTATTTTCGTATTCTTTACTGGTATATCTGGAGTGGAGCTCCACTTCCCATCTCCCGGCCCTCTTAGGGGCATCCATCCCCCTGGACCCCTTGAGCAAGTCAACAAAGACCCCAAACCACCACCCCCTTCCTCAACTCTTCAATCTTCAAGCCTTATAAGCTTGACACCAAACTCAGACTGCCACATACGACCATACCCACTGGAAAGCTCGGGATCCCGTCCGCTCTCCCATAGATAAGCCAGTGAGGGGAAGATTGTCTATGGGAAAAACATCAGGATCCCGACCAGCTAACCAGACACCGTTTTCAGTGACGGCGTTTTTTTTTTGGTTTTTTTTTTTTGGGCGACGAAGCTGTCGCTAAAAACCCAAAACGGTTGCACGCCAGCTCCGCAACCGCATACCCTCGATCGGCAGGACAGAATCTAGCCCACCGCAACATCCGCGCGCGTGGGTATAATCCAGCCAGCAAAACTCCCACGCCGCCTTGGTGCGGCTCTTGACCAGCAACATGGCAGCCGGCCGCGCTCGATTCGGGCGCATACAAATAGGCGAGCTGGGGAGCTGGCCCTTCCCTTGCAACTAAGCGTCCTCCTCAGCTCCCGCCTTCGAGTTCGATTCACTCGCGCTTACCCACTCGATCGCAAATCCTGGCTAACAGTGCATTCGCGAGCCGCACGCGCCAACTTAAGCTTCCCTCCTGTTCAGGCTCTGGCCCTCGACGTGTCCCCGATGTGGTGTCGGCCAGTAGGTAATAACATCGCCGAACGGAGACGGAGAGCCTAAGAAGACGAGCATGATGAGACCCCACTCGTGACGAGACGCCAGATCTCGTTAAAAAAGCAGGGCACTAGAGAAGGCGCGTGGAGAGAATGGCAGAGGTAGGCACAGTGTTCTCCGCTTTAATCTCCCTGCCTAGCTAACGGTAAGGCATCCAGGTATGTCCCGGGATGTCCTGCAGATCTACGATGCCAGCCAGCCCTGGATAGACTTATGTATGGAGAAGGAGCGCGTAAAAAGAATCATGATCCGCTTCGTCGAGGACTACTATAAGCAGGCGAAGAGGTGTCGACCTACCCTCTACCCCGACAGGTCGAAGGAACTCCCGACAGTCAGTTCGGCCATCACGCTACGAAATTTTTGGAAGGACCTGACCTTTGAGGCCGACAGACTGGTTCTGGCGGAAAGGAGACGCCAAGACCAGGAGAACCCACAGCGGTGGAGGCTTTCGCATAAGCGTAGCGTTGGGCTGGCCGCTGAGGTCCTTGTGGTAACTCCCTCTTTGCCCTCCAGTTACGTTGATGGTCTATTGGGACTGACCTGTTGGACACTGCAGAACGTTGAAACTAAGGTGATAAGATGAAATCAGCCTCACTTGTGAACAAACGTTTGTGAAGCGCGAAGTGACTTGCCGAGATATCGCGCACGTCATCGACGTGGTATGGCGACGATCGTCCGCCAGTACAATGAGGGGAAGGGTGATTAAAATGCAGTGAAGCATATGAAGGCGGAGGTGGAGCATATGAAGGCGGATATTCGATGGAGGCTAAGGACATGCTAGAGGTTTGTCGATCCGACCCCAGCCTTGCGCGCCAGGGCTCATCCCATCCATTCATCTCCCATACGAGCTAACTCTACCTTCTGTGCAGTGTTACGCTGCTGAATTGTTGTGCAGCACCTCCGCAGACGGCCAAGTGTAGACATCATACAGCCGGGGCACAAAGCCATGCCATCTGCTCCACTTCGCTCGGCTTGACAGCCCGACAGCCAAGCTGTCCTGCGTCCTGGTCAAACCGAGTACCTCAACCCTGCTATACTTGAGAATACAATCACTCACCTAGAAGAAATCCGGGAAACCTTTAGATG